AAACAATGCTGCTAATTGTAAGTCAAAATTCTCAACTACATACTTCAAATCCACAAACTTGAATCTGTAAATTAAGAACTTGCTGTGTTGGAAAAATATTCATGTTTGTTAATGATATGAAAAATTTGTCATGCAGGAAATACATACATTTTACATTGGCTTCAACAAAACACAATTACATATCATTTAATTCATGATACAATTCTGTAAAATTCAATTTCTACAAATAGAATCATTTTTACAGGTACTGATATTCTATGCATTCAATGAATTTGATTTTCAATTTTTTTCTTTGGAAAGTATATAAAGAATGAGTAGGCAAAAATATAACATCCTTAATTTTCTTCAATAGAAAAAAAAATATCATCAAGCATATCATAATAATTAAAACTATAAAATTTTTTTCAACTATGCTTATATATCTGTAATTAAATAATTAATTTGACTATTAAATATAATAATTAATTTGACTATTAAATAAAATAATCATTTCACAGTGATTTTAATAATTAGGTTATTTAAATTTAATTAATATATGATAATTCAAATTATTTAGAAAGAAAAAAAAATTGCTTTCAAATAAGGTTGAACTCCCACCAAACTCTTCTTCAAGAAAAAGAGATTCTAATCTAAATGTTCCAAGTTAAATTTTTTTCTGTAAGTTAAATGTATCCAAGGTTGTATATTTAAAACTCTATTTTGAACAAACTTATTTTTCTAAATATTTCTAAATTATTAATTAAATTAAAATTATCCAAATATTAAATTTATTATTTAAATATACTAATTAAATTATCAACAATCGTGAGGCAGATAATAGTGAGGGCTTATCAGACCAATGATGGGCACAAATGCTCAGGGATCAAAGTGAAAACAATTTAATAAATACAAAAAATTACTATGTAAGTGTGAAAACGAATCAAAATTACAAAAAAATCAAAATTATCATTTATTTCAATTAATAATTTCATTATTTAAATATAGTTAATTTAAAAGAGTAATTATAGTCTGAAAAATTTAATGAGTTTAGTCCATATTTTGGGCACTTATCTGTTAAAGCTCCACATGATGCATCACAATTTCCTGACAGCAAGCATCTTACTGTGGCAATCCCCACAATAAATAAAATATCATGCAATTCAAGGAAACAAAATTATCATTTATTTCAATTTTATAAAAATTAAAAAAAAAAGATAACTTTTTAGAATAAGAAAATACCATGCTATTCAAAAATTGAAATTTAATAAAATGAGTTTCCTAGATCTTTATACATACAGTAGAATCCTGCAAATATGATTAAATGAGGTGATGAGTTACTGAAAATGATGAGCTTTACAGATAGCAATAACAGATATAACAGAACTTTACAGATAGTCTAAACTACAAAATTTTTGTAAAGGTATTATATAGGCCCTATGCAAATTTAAGTACAGTACTTGTTAATTACGTACTGATAGTGATTATTTTTATTCCTAGTTAAATTTTAATTTAAAAAATATTGACTATTTGGTAATTACTTTCAAATTACTGATATTCGTGTGGTGATGTTTTGCAGTGGCATCTTGGAAAAAAGGTTATATTCTTTGTTAACACATGGAATTGATGCTATTAACAACTGTTGCCCATGAACAACAATAACTTATTTGATTCCAGTGTTACATTTTAGTGATGAAAATTAGATTTCTTAGGGGGCTCTACTGTAAGATAAAGAATTAATTTGGTTGTTATTATTTCATGAAATTATTAATTAGCATTCCTTGAATAAAAATTTATGGGACTATAACTTACTTTGGTACTTTTCTTTAGTTGGGAGTTACTTCAAGGCCAAATGATTGCCTTAATGAATCAGGCTTTTTTTCTGCTACATTTAATAATTAAATTCTAAATAATTTAATACTAGAAGTAGGCTTTAGGTACCATTTCTTATTAAATTTAATAATTATAATTAAATTAATATTTATTAAATAATTTAGAATATTCTGGAAAAAAATAATTGGCTCAGAATAGGACATAAATTCGCATATCCTGCTTACCATGACCTCAGTGTGACACTTTGCTTCCAGACATATTTAATTTTAGATACAATAATACACGGTTATTAATAGTAGCAGAAAATAGCCCAATTCATCATGGTGACCGTTTGGCTTTGATTAACAACAATGGGCTTTGAGATATTTATGTATTGAAGTCACTGCATTGACTGTCATTACTTAACAATGATTATAAGTAATTATAAAACTTATTTTCCATTATAAATGATCTCCTAAATTTTGACATAACAACATGCCAATCTAAATGTTTTCTTGATGTTCCATGTTAAAAAGTATTCCTTTATTGCTCTTTTATCCATATTAAATGAATGCATTTTACAACTGTTCATCTGTATACCAATATGACACCTTCATTCGTTTTGTTATGCCCACATTTTGGATTTTTTTTTTCATTCTAAAATTAAATTCATTATGTTTATTATGTTTCATTATACAGTCGACCCCCCTATAACGTGGGTTCCTATAACGGAAATTCCTATAACGTAGCAAAAAAATTGTAGCAATATTCGTATAAAGGAACTCCTAAAACGTCGTCGCCAACTCGCGTCGCAACAAGATTGATAGAATCTGGACCAATAGTGGATGAGCAGCCAAACTACTTTCCTCCGCTCTGCGTCACGCTACAGAGAGTTTAGGCGGCTAAATTGAGTTTGCTATCGTCTGTACAGTATTATATATAAATTAGGTACTGTATATATAATTATATATTAACTTAATTTATTGTAACTTTATTATAATTATATATATAATTTCCGCCGTCTAGCGCCACGCTACGGAGAGTTTAGGCTAGTAAGTTGAGTTTATTATCGTCTGTACAGTATGTAAATTAGGTACCGTAAGTCTAATACAGCACTAATTTTATACATTTCTTGTGAAAGAAACACTTCTTATTCAACGGCCATAAAAATTATTTATATTAATGATGTCTCCAAAGTTCAAGTTATTTTTCTGCAAAAAATTCATTATCAGAAATCGCGGCCGCCGTTTTGTGCGCTGTTCCGCGATGAAAACAAGCTTGAGCAACAGCGTAGTCGAACGGTGCACACTCGGTAAGTAATCCTACAATTTTTTGTTTATAGCATAGTTTATACGGATTATTCCCAAAAAATTATACGTGTTTTGGAAATGTTGAGTGGAATTAGTCTAGAATCGGTTAATTTTATAGAAGAAAACCTTTATAGAAGAAAACCAAACAGCCTTAGTCCGTAAACTTGACACGTGTCGGGCTGCGATTGGCTCATGTATTTAATGATTCCTACAACGTAAAATTTGATTAACGTGGAACATATCTAAGCGTTATGGGGGGTCTACTGTATTCATTTTGTTTAACAAAAGGTAGTATAATATACCTTATATACCTTTTGTTAAAACATTCAAAACATAATATATCAAATTCATGCAGAATAGAAAAAACATCAACTTCAAGCATTGAAAAATTCCAAAAAATCATTGAATAAAACATTCTCCACAAGTTGTTTCATCAACACAAATGCATATATTAAATACTTAAAAGCATATTACCACATAATGTCAAACAATGGATGGTAAGTTTGAATTCTTAAAAAACAGAGATTTTTTTAGTTTATACAGACAGAATATGTTTATTTAAAATTTATTAAATCAAATTAATCTTAATTAAATCTTTGATTTGTATATAATATAATTAATTTATTTGTTACAAATTCAAGCTCACCTCCTTCATTTCTCTAAGTGATGCAGCAGAATGCAATATGTGACCTTAGAGAGCAACACATGATGTGATGCATTATGTGGAGCTTTAACAGATAAGGATTATATTTTGTTTCATTTAATTAGGTTCTTGGTATGTCTATATATTGAAATGCATTTTTTAAAACTTCTAAGAACATACTGAATACAGTTAATATGTATGTATGTAAATAATTTTTAATCATTCCATGAAAAACGTATTTCAAATGTAATTTTGAAATATATTTTATTTTATAGATTATTTTATTGCAAATATCAAATATGGTAGCTGTTTTATATATTTCCATAAATGTCTGTTCTTTAATCCGAATAAAAATAATTTCGGTTTCACACAGCCATCAGGTTAGGTACTTCTTTTATTATACAGTGGTACCTTGGTACGTCTGCTTTAGAATATGTCCAATTCGGAATACGTCCTGTTTGGACAAAACAAATTTTGCTTGGTATACGACTTTTGTTCAGTATACGACATAATTCAATTATACGCGCAATCAATGAACAAGTAGCACTATCAGTGTACTAGACCAGACTAGACGGTTTATAACTTTGTTTAATTTCTTCAGATTTTAATTCGTAAGTAAAATTTTATTATTTTTATTAATCACAAATCCCAAAAAGGCAAATGAAAAGAGACAGAAAACTAAAAAAAATGACTAGAATTACAATGGAACTGATGAAAGAGATTGTTGAGAAATATGAAGGTGGCACGCGTGTTCGAGATTTTAACTGTTGTTTACTGTATTCCAAGAACGACGATATGGACAATCGCGAAAAATAAAGACATTATTAAATCTGCTAACGTTGCGAAAGGGGTTAAATCAATTTCTAAACAGAGATCGAAGACATTAGATCATGTCGAGAAATTGTTTTCGCTTTGAATAACTGAAAGTTAAAAAGATACATGCTGATCTCATGAAAAATCAAGCAGGAACTAGCCAGGAAAGAGAGGTGTTTAAAGCCAGCCATTTTTTTACACGAGAATGGATTAATCATTTTTACATTACTTCTTATGGGAAAGGTTGGTTTAGTATACGTCCAATTTGGTATAAGTCCAAACATCGGGAACGGATTAAGGTCGTATACCGAGGTTCCACTGTATTTCCAAATCTGATGGCTTAGTGATAGTCTACAAAATTATTTTTATTTGGATTAAAGATACAGATATTTATGGAAAAGATTATTTTATTATGAAAAATTACATATATTTATTTTTGACTCAATTTATGTTCAGCTATCACTAATTTATATACATATTTTAAAATAACTACTGAATTTTAATAATTACCTGGCCAAATGAACCCTTTCCTATTAACGAGTCTATTTCATATCTATCAAGGAACTTTTCTCCATTTCTAATGATGTAGTCATGATTATCATCATCATAGCCATCATTATATAATTTTCTTTCTTTTTTATGACTAGTGTCTTCACCTTGAGTTTGTTGTGCTCTGCGTTTTTTCTTGGCATAATAAACCTAAATACAAGATAACGTTTTTATAAATCAAATTTATTAATTATTTTTAAACTTTTCACTTAAAAATAAGATTACTTAATAATTTGTTATATATACACAAATATAAATTTATAATTAAATATGTAGTAGATATGTTTACAAATGAACAAACAGGATTCAGTCAATATTATAATCCCCAAAAAATGGTATTGTTTATTACATGATATTTATGTATTGTGAACTGTTATTATTTTCTTGTTCACATATTCTTATTCTATATTTATATTTGATTTTCTGTAGTTTTGTATTTAAATGTTAAATTGATTCAATTGGCACATCATTTCATATTGTAACATTCAATTTATTAATAGTTTATATTCTGATGTAAGAACATGAAGATAGCTAATCTAAGAAACCAAAAATATTTGTTCCATTAAAATATTATTCTTAATTAAAAAGATTTTGAGACTGTAATATTAAATACATAATAAATAGAAATGAATAAGCATTATAAATAATAACAAAATAATCTTTCTTTGTTTTTTCTTTTACAAGTGATATAAAATACACTGTTATTACACTGTTACTATTAATGGAATGAATATTTTTGACCATATTTAATAGCTATCTTTAGGTTCTAGACTGAAACTTAATAAATCAAACAGGAAGCAAATTAAAAATTGTAAATTTACATAGTGAGTCACATGCACAGGAGCGTAATACACAAATACATTAAATAAAGTATAGAAATAGTAAGATTAAAAGTAACAATACAATAACTAATACAAAATAAAATAAATAGCAAAGGATGATAAAGAATAAAAGTTTAAATGATTGCCTCCAAGCAGGTGACACCACTACAGAATCCTTAATGTTAATTGTACTCTCTTTCTTCAACATGTCTTAAATATTTGGATAGTCTGGAAATTTATAAAGCTATCAAGAAAGGAACCACAATTAATTTTAAGGATTCTGCAGTGGTGTCTAATGCTTGGGGCATTATTTGAACTTTTATAGTATTCTTTATCATCTTTTGCTAAATTCATGTTTTTACTTATTATATTTGCAATGAAAATGTGATTTCAGAAAATGATTATAACTTATTCAAAATTATAAAAAAAACTATAAAAGTCTTCATTACATCCTTTCACACACCTCAGGAACAAAACTGATTTTTTCCAGTGAAGTTAACTTAATAAAATATCAACTTCACTAGGAAAAAACAGTTTTGTTCCTAAGGTGTGTGAAAGGATGTAATGAAAACATTTATAGTTTCTTTTATTTTTTAAATATTAATGTTGTCCTGGCCAATGTGTTAATCGATTATAATCAGTTAAATCCTAAAACACTGTAATAGTCAAACTTGTATACAGTTTGACTATTACCAGTATGTGAATTCTTCTTTGACTGAAAAATAACTTAAGGCTGATAACTTAAGTTATCTTTACTGGTACAAGAATTCACATACTGTATGGGAATAATGTTAAAACTATACAAATATGTCACAAAAGTTGCAGGCAAACCTTTACTTTGTTACCCTATGACCAAGAAGATGGAGCTTGATTAGAGTTATATAGGCAGCAAAATACATAGTCATTAGACAAAGAAGTCAAGCACTTAACTGTTTCAAAGAGTTGGCAAATATAAAGGCAGGAAACTTGCCTTCACACAATGATATGATGGCATCAATTACTCAAAGATATTAAAGAACATCTTATCATTTACAAAAGAAAGTTAAGAAAGAAATACAGTGGTTACTTAAGAGCTCATATAATTGAAAACATTGAAGAAGAACAGACCTCATGGATGTCTCTGATACACTGTGAAGAAAAACCAAAAGTAGCTAATCCTGACGCAATTAAAATGTGTATTTGATGCTTTTTCTTCACAAAATTTGTATAAGAGTAGAGTAGTATACATAAAAGAAAAAATATATATGTTACCGCTAAAGCTCGAAAGTCGTTAATGTGTACACTACCTAGCTAATCTGCAGATTAACTAGGGTAATCCGTTAAAGTTGTGAAAATTGTTCCATTTCTCAAATTACCTAGATAATGTGCAGAGTACCTAGATAATGTGCAGAGTATCTAGGTAATCTGCACATTAGCTACTAGGCACTCGGTAAAGTGAAAATAAGATCTTTGCCACAAATAAATGTACCACAAATAGGTGTGCTTGTCACAAAAACCAATTGCTATGAAATTCAAAGTGTCACCAATCTTTAGACTGTAAAGCACAATTGGATAATGTTACCTATGGTGAGTAAAATGGTGGCTCGTCTCTGATTCCAGCAAACAGAAGAAAGGAAACAGTGGGGACACACGTTCAAACCTAACCTAACCTATTCTAATAATTTGGTTGGTAATAATTATGGTAATTTATTATAATAGGCTAGGTTAGGTTAGAACGTGTGTCCCCACTGTTTCCTTTCTTCTGTTTTCTGGAATCAGAGATGAGCCGCCATTTTACTCACCATAGATAACATTAACTGCACAATTATATCATGCGATCACCAGAAAAAGTATGATAATTTTATTATTTTTCGTCTCCGGTCCAAAAGTAAGGTATCATTGAAGTCGTCTCGGTCCCCTGGGTTCAGATAGATACTCAAAGTCCTGAAATTCCATGTAATAATTTCCTAATTGTATTAATATTTTACCATTTGATTTTTTGTATGTTTTTTAATTGGTTGATGATTGATTCTATCAACTAATTTGTTGATTGTTTGATTGTATTAACTGGATTATTTAGATATCAAAAATTAAATAAAGAACATTATGTTAATTTAAGCATACAGAAACGTTGCTGTTGTTCCAGCAAAGATCTTATTTTCACTTTACCGAGTGTCTAGCAGGTAATTTGCAGATTACCTTGATAATCTGCACATTACCTAGGTAATTTGAGAAATAGAGCAATTTTAGCAACTTTAACGGATCACCCTAGTTAATCTGCAGATTAGCTAGATAATGTACACATTAACGACTTTCGAGCTTTAGCAGTAACATATGTATATATTGTTTTATGTATATATTTTATGGAAAATAAACTCCCGTATATATATATATATACGGGCAGTGGTGATATTCAGCGGGTTCGCACAGGTTCGGCCGAACCCGTTGTTAACATTTTCAAAGTTTTCCGAACCTGTTGTTAAACACACGTAACATTTCTCAGTGGTTTTTTCTTTTAAAAATATGTTAAAATATACGTATTATACTCTGTAACACTACTAAACTAGAGCCTTATACACCTTTCGCATTGGTGCAACCTCCATGTTAAACACACGTAACATTTCTCAGTGGTTTTTTCTTTTAAAAATATGTTAAAATATACGTATTATACTCTGTAACACTACTAAACTAGAGTCTTATACACCGTTCGCCTTGCTGCAACCTCCATCGACCGTTTCAATCTCGACTGAAACGAGGTTTAATCGCGATCGACTCAAGAGAGTTCTCGAAACTAGGTCAGTCATACGAGAGATTCCACAATCCCACGCGCGCGAGAAAATACAAGATGGCTGCGGAACACGTGTTGGGCTATCGACAGCGAANAAACCTGCTTTCCCTATGACTTTTTGTGATTAAAAAAAAAGCTAATTTTATGTTTATAAAATATTTTGAATGAAAAATATTAAAATATGTACAAAATAAACCATTTTGGACTCTTTTTTTATTATTTATAAAAAAAATATAGTTATGGTATTAACAATGTTAAATTTTAACTGACTTAATTTTGCGAACGCATTTTTTTTTATTTATATGAATATCTTAAGGTCAGTTTTTGCGCTAATGTTGCTAATGCACCATTTGAGCGAAAAAAAAATTGTTAAGGAAAACTTTTCTGTTAGCAAACCCTTTGTTAAATATTTCGAATATCACCACTGTATACGGGAGTTTATTTTCCATATATATACACAATATATCCAATATATAATATATATACCGGAGTTTATTTTATGATTTCTTGGGTGTTTTGCTTCATTATTGATACTTGATAAATAAACAGAGCTATCAAAAGAGAAAGATACACACTGCTATTCTTGACGATATTGTGGCTAAAGCCAATGGAAGTGATTTTGTTTTAGTAAACTGGATGTAGCCATAGTTTTAATCAGCTTCTGTTGGACAAAGCATCCAAATCAATCATGACATTTGTCACTCATATGAGACTATTTACACTTAAGAAGATTTTTTATGGAGTAAATTAAGCATCTATTTCATAATTTAATCTAGTAGACTAGGTAATTAACTTGTGTTCTGCAGAGCCCTAGGGTTCTACCAATAAAAATTTGGGGTTTCGCAATAAAATCAGTTGAGTCTAGTCATGTATAAATTTGCCATTGCAGATTTGGAATGTGAGGTGTAATTGTTCTAGTCTCAGTTCAATTGATCTGAGACTATGTTTATAGCTTTATAAACAGTGGAGACTGATTTATTGGTAACAAAACAAACTGAAATCATGATATAATGTTTGACAAGGTAATGGAAACCATATAAAGAGTAAAACATAAACTAAAACTATAAAATCATTAAAAATATCATAATTCTTAAGAAAGATCCAACATATAAATAAAAATACAATTGTTAAATCTGTATATATATATATTAAAGACAAATGTTCTGTCACCACTGCACACAAATAATATAATATAAATTTTAAAATAAATTTAATTTTTAAAAACATTGTTTGAATTAGCAAAATATGACCTACTTGAACCTATAACCAGTGCGTACAGAGTTTAATCTTCCAAAACGAACGTTTTCTTAAGCCCTTCTAGGTTCTTCTTCAGGTAAATCAGCTGGATCGAACACAAATACAAAAAAATTTGAACAAATCCGAAAGCTGTTGAGTTTGAATCGTTCAGTTTGTTTGTATTTCCGTCACGTGACATGTTTGGAAGTGCTCAAACTTAACGATCAATGTCCAAACACAAGAGAAAGTTATGTCAAAATACATGACATACGTGAGAGTGAGATAAATAATTAATAATGATCTGACATGTTCCCCAGTAATTTTTT